AACAACATATTTCCCACTCTTATTTGCCTTTTTTGTAAACTGTTTTCTAATCCTCTGGAGCAGATTTTGAGGGCGTGGTTTATCTTCTGAAAAATAGTAGGTCCTCAGTAATTAGATAATTGGGAATCACTGCCCTAAGGCTTACCTAAAGTAGTATTCTGGATCCTAGCCACAGAATACAATGCAACGTCTGACAAAACACTTCCAAGAAACTGAAAGCTTAGGAGAAACGAAACTCAAAGGAAAGAGGAAACGAATGCCATATTTTTATGAGGATTCTAAATTTTGTTCAAATTCACAGAGTGCTTACAAAAGTGTTCAAAAACCGAAGCAGTTACTTCCAGGTTTTTGGCGTTTGAAAATGGAAATGTTCCGACTTCCGAAATTCTTTGGTATCCCTGCAACCAACAACTTCCCAGAGCCCTCCTCTGGGCCTGTGGTTTGTAACAATTCATTCATTCATTCATTCAGTCATTCATTTGAAATAAATAATATGCACAGCCTTTCAGGGTAAAGCTCCACTCACCCCTAAGGGAGAATTTAGCTTTATGTACTGTTACATGCCACCCCAATCTCCACGAGCCATACAAGATTCCAGGGGTTGCAGGCGCACTTTACTCCAGGCTTATGTTTCCTCTTGGACAATGAGGCACAGCAGTGACTGTGGTGTCTTTATGAACCTGAACTTGGATAAAGGAAAATCCCATTGCGTGTCAAAACCCCTCCCGCCAGAAAGAAAGACACAGGACACAATGTTTAAGTTTAATGGGCATGCAATGGCCACAACTTTATTGATTAGAGAATTGAAGGTATTGGCCCTAGGCATTGGCTCCTATCCGCTACCCGGCATGTAATCCGGGAAGGGTTAACACAAACCGTGGGAAGCCCCTGTTGGAGTACGCCAACTAGGGTCCCCACGGGTGTCACCGCTTGGGGCGTGCCGGGGGCCCTTACCTAGCCAGGTTTCGGACAAGACAACGCCCCTCGGAGTCCTGTACCGGACTACCCCATTTCCTGGGGGAAGGTGATGGCGTTCCTTCCCCCCCATCCATTTTCCTAACCATAGAACCCCAGCCAATGCCTAACCGCCAATACAGGGAAAGTTGTGACGTTTGCTATGAGGTAGGCGAAAAAACCAACTGGCCGAAGTTCGCCAACTTGGAAAAATTCCTACCAGGCCCCTTGCGGCAACCAACCGGAGTCCATAGCAAGGTCATGACGACCTACGGCTGCCTAAGCTTCTAAGGGTGGGTGGGATGGGAAAACCTCTCAGCTGGTCGGGAGAGAAGAGGGCGGACCCTGGGCGTGCCCGGCTTAAAATACCTTAAGCCCCGCCTCCCCCCGGCCCGCCGATAGGCGGGCTGGGTCGCGAGCACGCCCAGGGATTCCCCCAATTCTCGCGGGGGCCTAAGTCAGCCCCCGCGCCGGAGGGGGAGGGGCTAGACCGCAACCCCCTCTCCTGCCCAGAGTCGGAAAGGGCTTTGCGTGTCAAAACCCCTCCCGCCAGAAAGAAAGACACAGGACACAATGTTTAAGTTTAATGGGCATGCAATGGCCACAACTTTATTGATTAGAGAATTGAAGGTATTGGCCCTAGGCATTGGCTCCTATCCGCTACCCGGCATGTAATCCGGGAAGGGTTAACACAAACCGTGGGAAGCCCCTGTTGGAGTACCGCTTGGGGCGTGCCAGGGGCCCTTACCTAGCCAGGTTTCGGACAAGACAACGCCCCTCGGAGTCCTGTACCGGACTACCCCATTTCCTGGGGGAAGGTGATGGCGTTCCTTCCCCCCCATCCATTTTCCTAACCATAGAACCCCAGCCAATGCCTAACCGCCACCCGAGCAAAGCTCGCCGCCAATACCTTCAACCCTGCAACCAACTCCTATGCCCCACTATGGAAACCCCTGAACCCAGGACCTAATCCCTGCGATGATATCACCCAACCAAACGTCGTTCCCTGCATCAGACAGATGCACGCCATCCCTCCTGTAGAGGGCCTCATTGCTGAACTGGATGCTCGGGTGTCTGATGACAAACCCGCCCAGAGCCGCCACTCTACGTTCCACCGCTCGTTCTAAAACCTTTCTCGCCTTGTTCACTCCTACTGGGCTCAGGCAATCTCTCCATGTCCTCCTCTCCAGCAATGAGGACCAAATTATTGTGACATGTGGGTATGCCATGACCAACTCGGTCAGATCGTCAAAAATGTGCCACCTCAGATCGATCGCCTTGCGATATGCGAGATCGTTTTCACCCAATTGAATCACTAGGGCGTCAGGCGGACCCTCAGCCGCAGCCCTGGCCATCACCACTGGTTTGAATTCGCTCCAGCGCATCCCTCTACGCGCTATCCAAACCAGCTCCACCCTGGGATGTAAACTCAGGTTGCCGCCCAGTCCAGTTCGCAAGGCATGAAACTTGGCCCAGTGCACGATGCTGTGGCCCACCAACCAAATGCGCAGTCTCGTGGGTTCTGAAAAGCAAATAGAAATGCGGGCGGAGGTCAGGGGTGTAACACACAGTCACAAGTTGCTTCTCACGTACGCTTTGTACGCGTTAGATTTCCACCTCCCCATTTCCTTAATTCTCTCAGTGGGGAGCCCCATATGTACTGCAGAGGTGGCTGCGCCAATACGGAAGGAGTGTGCCGCAAATTCAGACGCCGGGAAACCACAAGCCGACAGCGCCGACCGCACAACCCTAGTGAATTGGTGCCTGGTAAGGCGAGATCCGTCCGCATGTATCAGAAGCGGACCAGGGCCGACAGGCCTTAGGTAAAGAAAACGCCTCGTGTCCCGAACCGGACAAGGGCCCCTTCCGTGAGCTGCCTGGAGCCGGAGCAGGGCCCCCTTGCTTTGCTGATCTGTCTTAGAGTTTCGCACCCGCACTAAGAGATCGGTTCTTGACAGAGTCAGGTCGCTCATCAAAATTCCCCTCTGAGACTGGGTAGCATCCCCTTCGCATACTACCTCGCCTACGCGTAGGGCGCCAAAGAAAGCAATGGAAAACGCTGCCGAGAATAAACGCGCTTCGTGTTTTGACCAGCAAATTTCACGAAGAACTTTGTGAATCTTAAACAGTATTTCATAAGTTACAGGCCGCCTACTGTCCGCGCAAGGGGGATGCTGCCTGCGCCATCCCTGCAAAGCTTTGCGCACGATGAAGGCTGCGCAGGGGTCCTTTTCAAACAATGTCTTACAGAAGTACGAGATCCCTGCCGAGTGAATATTGAGTGTCTTAGGGGCCCGGCCTAACCCCCTCAAGTGTGCCAAGTAGCGAAGGACCTCCCTGGTTGAGGGAGTGGTGTGGTTACTCGGGCCAGGGGTGCGCGCCCGAAATTTTAAAAATTCAACCCACGCCTTCTTATACGACCTCATCGTGGACGGGGCCACTGCACCGAATACTCCCTTCATTATATCTCGCTCCCAATCCTCCAGAGATGCTCCGGGAAAGGCATCGATGATTGGTCCGCTTCTGGCGCTAACAAGCGGAAGCGCTCCATCTGGAAACAAGATAGAGCATCCGCGATATCATTATTAATGCCAGGCACGAATTTGGCCGAGAAGTAAATATTCTGTTCCAGACACAGCAGGACAAAAGCACGCAAAAGGTTTCCCACCCTGGTGGACCGTGCCGACTGTCTAGAGAGGACCGCTACGACTGCTTGATTGTCGGTGTTGAAACAAACCCTGTGATTACGAAATTGATCCGCCCACAAATGCACAGCCACGACAATCGGGAAGAACTCCAAGAAGGTAAGGTCCCTAGTAATGGGTTGATTTTGCCAATCCACGGGCCACCGTTTGGCACACCACTGACCGCGGAAATAAACCCCAAAACCCAAGGACCCGGCTGCGTCTGATTGAACTTGAAGGTCAGCATTAAGAAGCAGGGTATCCTGCCATAATGAGATCCCATTGTACTTCTCTAGGAATTGCAACCAAACCCCTAGGTCAGCCTTCACCTGCTTGGATAGCCGCACCCTATGTTGGGGTGCTTTGAGGCCAGCCGCCAATCGCGCCAGACGTCCGCAGAACGGCCGCCCTGGGGCAACAACCCTGCAGGCGAAATTTAAATGGCCCAGCAGGGATTGGACCTGTCTCAATGTTACTTTCTTTAGGGGCAAGAGCTGTTGTATGATTGTTCTGAGCGCCACCAATTTTTCAACGGGTAAGCGGGAAGTTTGGGCTACGGTGTCCAATTCGATACCCAAATAGACTAGGGATGTGGCCGGACCCTCTGTCTTGTCGGCGGCTAGGGGTACCCCTAATTCGCCGGCTAGGGATGTAAAAGCCTCTAGCAGAGTGGAGCAACGTGGTTTATTGTCCGCGGCCAAAATAAAATCGTCCAGGTAGTGCGAGACGCCAAAAGACCCTGTTCTGCTACGTAGGGCCCAGTCGAGGAATGTGCTGAAAGATTCAAAGGCTGCGCATGCAACAGAGCAGCCCATGGGCATAGCTTTGTCAATGAAATACGCGCCGTCAAATTTAAATCCCAACCATTTGAAGTCCTCCGGGTGAACTGGAAGAAGGCGGAAGGCGGACTCAATGTCGCATTTTGCAAGGAACGCACCCTGACCGAATCGACGGATCATCTTTACAGCTTGATCGAATGAAGCGTATTTCACTGTACAAAGCTCCTGAGGAATTGCATCATTTACAGAACCCCCTCTAGGATAAGAGAGGTTGTGAATCATGCGGAATTCCCCCGGGGCCTTTTTTGGCACAATGCCCAGCGGGGAGAGGTGAAGCCCCTGAAGAGGCGGTTCGGGAAAAGGACCAGCCACCCTGCCAGCCCTGATTTCTTTCTCTATCTTCTTTCTGACTATGTCGGGCCGTTCCCTAACAGATTTTTGGTTATCCACCTCCCTGGAGCTTGGTGGGGTGGCCACCGGGATCCTAAATCCCGTAGAAAAGCCCTCCCACAGATATTTTGCCGCGGCCTTGTCCGGGTACTGTTCCAAAAGGTCTTTGAGGGGCTGTAGGCGAACAGGGGAGAATGCCAAACCTAGGTCGGTGTTACTGGCGATTGCTGGGACCTTGACGGGATGCACCGGGGGAACCTCTGGGATTGTTAAGGAAGTACCCCCTGCCCCCCCGAAAGGGCTGATGCTTATTTTTGAAGCACGCGGAAGCGGGGTGATTACCCCAGCATTGCTCACATTCGTGTAAATACTTACAAAAGGGGCGAGAGCATACACCCCTGTTAAACTCCCAGCATTGCCGACGTTTCTTTGGCTCAATCTTACCAACTTTCGCTGCCTCCTGACTTTTCTTCTCGATGTAGGGGTTTACATCCTCGCCCCAGTAGTTAGGATCTGTGAGGTCCCATCGAGTGGTGGGGTGGAGAGAAGCATTCCTTCGGAAGTTCTCGTCGTACGTCAATGCAGCACTTTCGCCTGCCAGAGCCCGCGCACGCCTCACATGAGCCTGGTAAGCCACTAAATCCATGGCGCGGTGGGGATAGGCTGCACAAACTACACCCATAAAAACCTGGTACCCGTCTAACCAATTCTCGAATGTGCGTTCCGCCCTGGGCGTTCTATACCTCCTTCTGCCATAAGAGCGTCTTTTCTCACCTTTTCCTGTAATTTTTGTTGGGGGGAGTAGGGTAAACAAATCCACGTAATCCCCATTGAGGATTTTATTCCTCTTCCTTTGTGATAAGTGGTTTCCCAGAATGAAGTCTGTGGGCTGATTGGTAGCAACCTTAACGTCCTCCACCAATGCCCCATCCTTCCAATACAGCACCCCGTTAAAAACCTTACGGTGGGAATTGGCCCTCCTTTCATGAGCCCATAGGGGGATCCCATGATTCGACTCCCCAATACCCCAATAACCATCCATAGGCCCTTCAGAATCAGAATCTGAAGAGGACGTACCTGATTCCTCCTCCTCGGTGTCCGAATGCCTGCTCCTCTTCTTCTTAGCCGACGTGTGCTTCTTTTTGGACTTCCTCTTACCCCCTTGCGGCATACTGGCGTTGGCGTCGGCCGCTGAGCGAGATGGCTGATTCTCCACCGGTTCCCCTTCGGAGCCAGAACCCGCACTGTCCTCGGTGGAACTGTGCACCTGCTGCTCCTGAAAGACACTTGGCGTACCTATAGCTTGAGAGACGGTGTTACCGCCGCTCCCTTTCTTGGGTGCCTTCCCCTTACCTTTGCCCTTTGCTGGGGCCTTGCCCTTACTGGTAGCCTGCGTGGATTTTCTAGAGCGGGCAGATTGCGCCCGCGTACTGGATCGCCCACTAGCTGTGGCATCTGGCTGAGCACCGGCTGTCGGTGCAGGCGCCTGGGCACCAGCTGCTGATGGACGCTGTTGGGCCCCGGCCGTCGCTGCGGCTGAGGAATCTGACAGGCCCCGGTTGGGGGGTGGAGTATCAGGTATTACGTCCTGCATTGGCTCTAGCGCTGGCAACGCCGACGACCCAGGTCTACACTGTCTATAAAGAGTTTCGAACACCCTGAAAAACTGACTTAAAGTTTGCGGATCACAAGTTATAACTGCTGTCTGAGCGCCATCGTTACTTGTGGAGGGGGCCGGCTGGTTGCTGCCAGTGGAGGACTGCTGGTTTCCGCCAGAAGCCATACCTGCTTATCCAAGTTTTAAATGCTTGAGCTAAATAGACACTTTCGCAGAAACTTGTTCAGATATTTATACAATTATGTATGTATATATATACCGGTTTTCTTTGCTATTTGAATATATTGCTACTATGTTCTATTTAGTAGTTATATATCTGATTCTCTGCTTTTATATAAGTTTAAGTATATTTATTATTTATCCCAACTCAATAATTATTATTATATAACGGATAGTAATTATTAATTAATATCCAACGGTCACCACATTCCCCAATGAACCTAAACTACTTGCTGCCCAATTGCACACTGTTTGTTAACCACTTCGCGAAGGCTAGCTGTGACCAGAAAGGCCCAGCTGTTAAGTGAGGGGGGATTTAGGCAAATTAACCCCCAAGCTCCGACCGATTGAGTGACCCCTAGGTTGCCTGGCTGCCTGTGCTTCCCCTTCCTGGTTTAATTTGCAGCGGCTGCTAGCGCAATTCAGCAGCTATTAATTGTTAATTTAATAGTATTACTCCCCGCGGCAGCAGGGGCCCCAGGCAGTGAATCGCTAATTAGTATAATTGTTCCCTCCTCCGCCGCGGCACACAGACGGTAATTGTGAGTATTAAATTCGGCCGAAAAGTAATTTGCAATTTAAAATTGCCACACTTAAGATGGCCGCCGAGGCTCGGCCCACGTGGACCTTCTCAAGATGGCGACCGGTAGTCAACTGTATAAGGAATTGTTATTTATTTCGGAGAATTACTCCTAACCGCTGCAGGAGCCTGCAGTCGTGTATTGCTAATTTTATTCCTACCCTTGCACGCAGACAGTACAGCGAAAAGAAGAGTAGTGAAATTAATCAGAGGGTTAGGTTGCTAGCGCAACGTTGCCCCACCAAAATGGCCGCCGAGACTTGGCTCACGTGGACCTTCTCAAAATGGCGACCGCTAATCGATTGCCCAAAACCAAAATGGCCGCCCGCACGCTCGTCACATGCACCAACAGACGATTGTTTTTCTAACCTTTCCCTGCACGGAGATGGCGACTGCGGCCTCGCGATCCGCCCCCAGTGGAGGCTTGCGACTTGGGTTGCCCCGGCAACGCAGACAAACAACGATTCGCGCGAAATGCGGGGCGAAGAGAGGGGAGGGAAAGGGGAATGCGCGTACCGGCAGAGGGAAGTTTATCGGCAACCACGAAACAAAGGAGGCAGCGATGGAGGGGACCCCGTGAGCTAACAGAGGCACCAGATGGAGAGGTGGTGTATCGGCTCCAGCTAAGGGCAAAACAACCCCAGGGAAGGGACCCTCGGCACGCCGGGGGTCTGTATGGGAAGGGCACGAAAGGTACGCGACAGTACGTTACCCCCTTCACCGCAGTTGGATCGTGGCTCCGTCCGCTCGCACAGCCGTGGACACGAAGGAAGGATGTCGCTGTATTCCTGCCCCCCTCACCGTTCACCCTGCTGACGATCAAGCCGGGATCGTACGGCTTACGGCTGCAAACACGCAGAAAGGAAGACCCCGTGCAGCAGCTCCCAGTCCTCTGCCTTCCTTGCCTGCGCCCTCCCGTGGGATGGGGACTCCCACTCCGGGGAAGCCTGAGCTCACGGTAGAGGTTTTTTATAGCTCAGAGAAGCAGCAGGCTGAACGTGAGGGCAGCTGTGCACGGCTTGCGAACAAATCCGCACGCTAGATGCTCTAAGGAGGAAACGCTGGCAACAAAATCCCACGCTAGGATGAAATTGAAGAGAAAACCAGGTGAGCGATCAAACCTCTCAGCTGGTCGGGAGAGAAGAGGGCGGACCCTGGGCGTGCCCGGCTTAAAATACCTTAAGCCCCGCCTCCCCCCGGCCCGCCGATAGGCGGGCAGGGTCGCGAGCACGCCCAGGGATTCCCCCAATTCTCGCGGGGGCCTAAGTCAGCCCCCGCGCCGGAGGGGGAGGGGCTAGACCGCAACCCCCTCTCCTGCCCAGAGTCGGAAAGGGCTCCATCACACCCCAAGAGGGTCCCTTGCTTTTCTCATAGGAGCAGCAGGCTTGGGTCTGCAAGAGAAATAAGCCATGTTTTGTGTCTTCGTTACTGCTTGTCCCAACTATCCCACATGGTGCTCTGCCCCCTTGCCCCGCTGCCCATCACTGCTAACCCAGTGGGAGGGGGGGGAATCTGTTGTTTCCCCCCCAGCCTATGTCACCCATCCTGAATCCTAAACCCCTTTGGTTTCTGCCCATAGCTAGATGAGGGGCTCCACCCCTCCTTGTCTGGTACATCTTCACTCTCTTGATGGCTTCCTTGATTGGTCAATGTCTGGCCATCATCAGCTATTGTTCTTCCAATGGCCCCCATCCAGCTAGCTCTGCTGAGCTGGCCTGGCTCCTAAACCAAATCCAGCAGGTTTTTTTGTGTTTGGCACAGTTTAATCAAGGCTTGATTATTTCTAATTTTTACTAATTCCAGGATTTATGGGTAAGTTGCACCCACAGACTCTGTCCCCAAAAACAGATAGCAGTACATTTGATTCCAAATTATTTACATTGCAATCTACTTGCAGTCTCTCTTGTCAAGGCTCCTGGGTATATTACTTCGACCCATCCATCTGTATGGCCATACCAGTCAATCCACCAAAGTTGTTCCCAAACATTAAACCTCCCCCCACCCTGGCTCCACCTCTTGCCTCAGATCCATTGCCTCAGTCTTTTTTTTATTTATGTTGGAAATATTTTGGAATTGCAGCTGCACTTCTTTCAGGTGTGGTTCTGCTTTTTGGAGCTCATTAAATCTGTAAGATAGGCAGTAATCAAGTACGGTAAGTCATGGGGCTGGATGGAGGGAATTTATCCCTCCCAACTTTGATGACTAAACACTGAATGGAAGTTTAATCCTTCAAGTAATTCAGGTATTTAATATCTCTTTCCCAGGCCAGTACTTTGAGTTTCGTTTCTCCTGGACAATTGTTTTCCCTACATTTCATTTTCCTGAAAATCTGAAAAAAAAATTGTCTGGTGTACATGTCCATACAGACTCGGCTATGTTGTGGCTAGAACCCAAGAATTTAGGTGTATCCAGTCTTTATCACTGTTCTCTCCATTCTTTAAACAACTGATAGAAAACTGCTTTTGAACCCTGGGAATCTGGTTGTCAACTATGAGAATAGGATGCTGGATTAGAGCCACCTTTGTCCTGATCCAGCAGTGATCTTTTTATGTTTTTAAAAAGCTGCTTTAACTTGTTCCATTAGACAGATTTGTAAAAATGTTTCCAAAGTTGAAGATCTCCAAATGTATTTTTGCATCAATGGAAATTGGTATTTTTAAATATATAGGATTCAAAAGGAAACATCGGGTGTTCTGAAGCTGAACAAGAGTGCAATGCCAGCAATATGTATGACCCAGTTGTGAACTACTGTAGGGTACAATGAGGGGAAAGAGAAGTACAGTAGTACATCATGTTCATAGGCGCCGACTCCATGGGGCTTGAGGGGGCTCGAGCCCCCTCAAAAAAATTTTTGGGGGGGCTCAGCCCCCCCAATAATCTCGGGCGCCGGGGGCGGGGGCTCCTGCCTCGCTGCTTCGCAGCACCACCGCCACTGCCAAGGCACTGCCGGGGGGAATTTCCTTCCTCCTGGCGGTTTCAGCCCCCGCGAGAACAGGGGAATCCCGACTGGCCACACCTCCCAGCCAGCCAATCGGCTGGCTGGGGGGCGTGGCTTGCCCTATTTAGGGCCGGAGCCACTTTATTTGCATATTCATGAGCTTATTTATTATTCATGAGCTTTCCCGGGCCCCCCCAATATTTTTTATAAGTCCGCGTCCCTGATCATGTTACGAAACCCTCTGGTTCATAGCTGTCAACTTTTCCCTTTTCTTGTGAGGAATCCTATTCGGAATAAGGGAATTTCCCTTTAAAAAAGGGAAACGTTGACAGCTATTCTCTGGTTACGTAAATTTTACGTTATGAAAGTGGCAACAAAGAACTCTGCATTACATCCTTTGGGGCCTCAGTAAACCACTTGCCCAGGTCTTTATATAAACAGCATATTTAGCTCTAGTTAATGCATGAAGGGGTTAAGATCAGAGAGTAAGCTGTTCTGCCAGAATTAACTAGATCACACACCCCTCATCTTGGGAGAAGGGGTTACTGAAGGCCTCTTTATCTCTCTCCATAGCAGCTACATTTCTCTGGTCCTTCCTCCTCTCAACTTCTGGGGAAATAAGCCATCTGAAAAGTGTGATAAGGGGAGAAGATGGAGAGGTGGAGAAAAAGCTCTGTGGCCTTCCCTTCTCTGTGCCTATTCAAGCTTCCTCCCTCCCTCCCTCCAATAAACAACAACACAGACCCACCCAGCATTGACACAGAAGCCGCATGCCACACAAGCCACCTTGACCGGAGGACTGCCATCACGTGATTCCCGGCCCTGGCAGGTTTCCTCCTATATAAGACAAAGCTGGGTCGCTCATTCGCTCCCGGTGTCCCTGCCTGGAAGCCGAGGGCGATGTCGAGCGGTAACGGGGAAGGAGCCTTCGAGCGGCCCCGGCCCGCCAGCCCGGACGACGGCTTCCACACGCCGGAGAAGCGCGCCCCGGATCCCTGCGGGAGTCACCCGCGGGACTGGGGCATCGAGCGGGTGTGCGAATTCCTGCGAAGCAGCGGCTCCGAAGACCCGGAGTTGGTGCGCTACTTGCGAGGTAATTGGGGGGCGGGACGAGCGGGACCGGAGAGCCGCTTCGCCTGCGCAGCCTCGTTGCGCCGGGAAGACTGTAGTCATCTTTCAAGCCGCCGCCGTCGTCCTCCTCTTCCTTGTAGCCTGACTGAGGCGACGCTGCTGCTGTTTCCTCTCGAGCGGTTCCCGCTTCCTGACCCGGTGAGGAGAGGAGGTTATGAAGCGGATTGCAGAGCCGGGGCATAACGGGCTCCGTCGCCTGAGGCTGGGGTTGGCTAGTCGTGGCAGGATGGCTTGTTCCGAAGTCAATGGTCATAGGGGTGTTGTTGTTTTATTGTTATTAATTGCATTTATATACCACTCTATACTCAGAGCAGTTCACAAAATAAAATCAAGATATAAAGCCGCAAAATACGTAATAAAAATAAAAACGGCAACTCAATAACCACCCCCCCAAACCCCCACATTTTAAAAGGGCTGTGTCTTAGGAGTCTTTTGCAGCACAGTCTACTCGGGAGTAAGGTCTAAGCGTGTTTAGGGTTGCTGCCTTAAATCCCCTTTTTCTTTTAACTTGGGTTGTAGTTATTTATTCGATTTACCGTATATGCCGCCCTTCCTTCCAAAGGAGGAGCACTTTTTTCTCAAACAAGTCTTTTAGTTAAAAAGGATTGCAAGCCACCCCAGTCTGACTCAAATAACTCTACTCTGGCCTTTTGTCTTTCCAACAGGGAGGTAGACCCACCTATTTGCCCTCTGGTACAGAGCCCCTGCTCTGCTTTGCTCCCTTAATGACCCATCTTTAGCTGTCCATTGGCAGTACAGGAATCTTTGTGCATTAACCAGCATTGATACGTTCTGTCTCTACTTGTAATGTTCTCAAAAAATAAGAAAATAACATCAGAGGCACATATTCTAGTGGGGGAAAGATATATGCACCAAGTATGTATCAGAGGATCGCCAAAGCATGTGCCATCAGGACGCAACATCATCAAAGCTAGAAGTCAGGTCATTCATTTATTCAGATCCAAAAATCTCCCACATTACTTTTCATGCGTTCACTTTTGGGTTGGGGCAACTGGCTAAAATGTTTTAAAATATTTTGAAGGGTTCTAATTTTGGTTCCTCTGTTTTCTTTTTGTTGGGTTGATGTTGGTTAAATGTTTAGTTGGAGTTGGCAGTTATTTTAATTTGGGTATAACTGTTTATTATTGTTATTACAGTATGTTATTAGGAGGCTAATTAGGTTAGTTACCTTATGCCCAGTGCAAAATATTTCAGGTTGCACCAAAGCATACTTGCAGAAAAGAAATACTGGCGACTCTTCATGTGAAAGTATGAATGAATACTGGCTAGTGGTGGTTACAGAACTTCCACTACCCCCTATTTGTCTAAGTAATACCAAATACAGTGGTACCTCTACTTACGTACACCTCTGGTTACGTATCCTTTGGGATATTCACGCAGAAAACCCGGAAGCATTTTTTGTGGGTTTTGCCGTGCGCGCATGCGCAGAAGCCCTCTACCGCACCATGCACATGCGCAGAACAGGCACCTACAGTAGTGAAAACCTTGGGATCCGACTGGAGCTCCAGAACGTATCCCGTCCGCACCTGGAGGTACCACTGTAAAGCTTCTACTGATGATATGATTCTATAACATATTAGATATAGCTGTAGGGCCATCTAGTCCAATCCCCTGCCATCCAGGAAACATTACCGTATTTTTCGCCCTATAGGACGCACTTTTTCCCCTCCAAAAATGAAGGGGAAATGTGTGTGTGTCCTATGGGGCGAATGCAGGCTTTCGCTGAAGCCTGGAGAGTGAGAGGCGTCGGTGCGTACCGACCCCTCTCGCTCTCCAGGCTTCAGGAAGCTATCCGCAATCCTCGCTCGCCCGGCGGGAGGTCCCGCCGGGCGCGCTAGGCTCGGGGCGGCAGCCTGCAGCCCGAAGCACGGGGGCGCTGCGGAGCATGCCCCGTGCTTTAGGCAGATGTCTGCAAGCCTCGCTGTACGCCGGGCTCGCAAGGCTTGCAGGCAGCAGCCTGTTCTGGGGGCTGGGGTCGGGGGAAGCTCGGGCTTCCCCCGCGCCAGCTCCACGCCTGGGGGGGAAATAATTTTTTTTCTTTATTTCCCTCCCCAAAAAACTAGGTGCGTCCTATGGGGCGGTGCATCCTATGGGGCAAAAAATACGGTAATTAAAGCATCCATGACAGATGGCCATCCAACCTCTGCTTAAAAACTTCCCATGAAGGCAAGTCCACCTTGTAATTGGAGTAATTGCCTGGTACAGGGTGTGATGCACAGTGGGCGCCAGCTGGATAGGGAAAACAGGAAAATTCAATGCTGCTACATTCTAAGCTGTCTTTCCACTCATAAAATACTTCTCTGGACCCAATAATTCAGAATAACATAGTTGCTTAACGTTTCTCATTTTTCTAGTGGTTTTCATTTGTCATCTGCCCAGAGAATTTTGAATTATTAAGAATTTCAGAAGCATAAATGTTAAGAGTAACAAAACAAGCTAACTGTTGTCTCCTTAATTCCTCAGGAAAAAAAATTCCTGGTTCAACTTTATTTTACCTCACTGAATCAGAACTTGAAGAAATGGGAATTGGGTAAGGGAAACTTAAATCTATTGACATTTGAATTTGGCTGCAATCCTATATTTACTTCCCTGGGAGTAAGTTCCATTGAATTTAGTGGGACATACTTCTGAATAGTCATACATAGGATTGGACTGCTTGTGTTTCTAATTCCTAAATGGTTCATTGCTATATTTAGTGCATACTTTGAGCTTTGTACATTTGCTAAAGAAATATAGATTAGTGACCCTGATCTTTTATCAGCAGAGGAGGAGTGAAGTTGCCTCGATTTCAACAGTGGTTCACATTAATCTGCAGTTCTGTTGCAATGAAGATTTAATGTGACATGCAAACCAAGCCAGCGTGTAAAGCATTTTAATGAAATCAGGAAACTGAAACAGGACTTGAACTTGCCACATTGTGTAACATAATTATTACAACATTAATCATCATAACAATGGATGTTACTTTTCTTCTCTGCGATCTCACACTTGACAGATGTCACTAAAACTGTATTGAAAGAATACCTTTAATATTACCATAACACCTCTGTTCATACACAATTTATGAAAAACACCTTTTTACACAGAGGGCTACTGGAATATTCTGCAGTTTTTGGTAATCAAACATATTTGTTGTTTATGATGCAGAAATGCACCCCTTCCAGAATGATTTATGGCACTGCATAACATGCTAAGGCAAACCTTGGTTTAGTGAGATGGCACAGGCTTCCAGAGAGCTGCTTATAGCCACTTTCTCCTCCAAAGTTCTTTTTGCTGCCATGCTGTTGTAAGTCAAAATTTTGCTTAGCATGTAATCCAGACCAGGGCCCATGGTTAGCCTCTCTACACCCTAACTATTTGCTGGTGGTTAGTTAGGTGAGAGGTTAACCATGAGCCCTGGTTTGGATTACATGCTAAGCAAAATCTTTGCTTAGGTCATCGTGGTACAACAGCAAAAAGGACTGGGAAGGAGTAAAGAAACTGTGAGGTTCTCTGCAGTAGCCTGCATTTTTGCACAGTCTCATTAAACAAGGTTTGCCTTTGCATGTTGTTTAAACGAGCTTTCCTAGACAAAACCACCATCAAATTAATGAAGCAAATATATGTTGATGACTGTGTGTGCAGAAACAGATGCACAAATGATGGAGTCTATATATGAAAATGGTGTATAGTCATCTTCTTTTCTACCACATTGGCAAATATTGAGCACAGATTATATCTTGGAGAAAGTATGTTTGAAAACTACTAGAGTTTGACATCTGAATAAATCTTCATGGAATTGGTAGAGTTCAAGAGTATTATGTTCCAGATCTTTTGAAGATCTTTTATTGAAAACTTTTTAAAATGCTTGCAGTGAACAGTAGCAATTAACTTAATATTAGCGTCCACTACATTATTTAATAAAATATGGAATGGTCAACTTATACTTGATAACTTTCAGGACCGGAGTGAGACTGAAGCTTCTGTATTGTCTGAGCAAACTGGGACAAAGGCATGTTGACATAATGAAGGTGAGAGAAGCATTTGCACTAATCTGAAAGCAATGTTAGTCTATTTTTGAAGGTGGTATTGAACTATCTGCTTTTTTTCTCGATTGGGATCGGTTTTCCTTCTCCTAGATCAACTACCTTCCCAGGTTGATGAGATCCATCTGCCCCTCACTTCCCTCTACATCATGTGCAGAATCCACCTTCTTGACTGTTGGACCTATTGGTCTTGTCCGCTAAATCTGCTGGAGCTCATCTTGGCATACAGGGGCAGCCATAGATGCTTTTTGTTATCCAGTGATTGTCCCAACTTTGTGTATAGCGAAAGCAAGTTAAAGCTAAAGCATTTTCTTCTGCTGCTTTTCATATATCATCTGCAATAGTTTTACATGTTGTTTTACATCTTCCAGGTATTTAATGACCCCATTCATGGTCACATTGAAATGCATCCCCTTCTTGTTCAGATCATTGACACACCTCAATTTCAGCGTCTAAGATACATTAAACAATTGGGTGGCACTTATTATGTTTTCCCAGGAGCATCGCACAACCGTTTTGAACATTCCCTTGGGTAAGGCACAAGTTCTTTTTGCAGAGCTCTGTTATTCTTGAACTCGTATACGCCACCACTCAGGTACTGCAGACTGGCTGTGCCTCTGAACATGAGTAACTGCATTTTCATTGAATTCCACAGTTGTTGTTGTTGTTTAGTCGTTTAGTCGTGTCCGACTCTTCGTGACCCCATGGACCAGAGCACGCCAGGCACCTCTGTCCTCCACTACCTCCCGCAGTTTGGTCAAACTCATGCTGGTAACCTCGAAAACACTATCCAACCATCTCATCCTCTGTCGTCCCCTTCTCCTTGTGCCCTACATCTTTCCCAACATCAGTGTCTTCTCCAGGGAGTCTTCTCTTCTCATGAGGTGGCCAAAGTACTGGAGCCTCAGCTTCATGATCTGTCCTTCCAGTGAGCACTCAGGGCTGATTTCCTTAAGAATGGATGCGTTTGATCTTCTTGCAGTCCATGGGACTCTCAAGAGTCTTCTCCAGCACCAGAATTCAAAAGCATCCATTCTTCGGCGATCAGCCTTCTTTATGGTCCAGCTCTCACTTCCATACATCACTACTGAGAAAACCATGGCTTTAACTATACAGACCTTTGTTGGCAAGGTGACATCTCTACTTCTCAAGATGCTGTCTAGGCCTGTGATTGCCCTTCTCCCAAGAAGCAGGCGTCTTTTAATTTCGTGGCTGCTGTCACCATCTGCAGTGATCATGGAGCCCAAGAAAGTAAAATCTCTCACTGCCTCCATTTCTTCCCCTTCTATTTGCCAGGAGGTGATGGGACCAGTGGCCATGATCTTCGTTTTTTTTGATGTTGAGCTTCAGACCATATTTTGCGCTTTCCTCTTTCACCCTCATTAAAAGGTTCTTTACTTCAGTTTGAGCTTGAATTTTGCTATAAAAAGCTGATGATCTGAATTCCACAGTAACCTATCGTAAAACAAAAACCCTGCTACTTGTAACAGGGAGTCCTTGGAGCACACCACAATCGCCTAACCTTTAATCTCTTAGGTTCAGATCAGGGTCACAAGCAAGAGACTTCAAAGCAGGACATAGAAGCAAAATAGCAGCCAGTAGGCCTGATCTTTATTGTTGCAACAAGACTTTCCACTACAGTGGTACCTCGGGTTAAGTACTTAATTTGTTCCTGAGGTCCATACTTAACCTGAAACTGTTCTTAACCTGAAGCACCGCTTTAGCTAATGGGGCCTCCTGCTACTGCTGCGCCGCCGGAGCACGATTTCTGTTCTCATCCTGAAGCAAAGTTCTTAACCTGAAGCACTATTTCTGGGTTAGCGGAGTCTGTAACCTGAAGCGTATGTAACCCGAGATACCATTGTACTACAAAGATGAAGCAGCCAGAAGCCCTGATCAGTGGGTTACATCAGTATTTCAAAGTTTCCCATAATACATATCGGGATACATCACTGTCCCTGTCACTCAAATATAGTCTTTTACACTTACTCCAACACAGTACAAAGGAAAGTATTTAAAGTTTCCAGGTCCCTGAGTCAAGTCAACTCAACTTTGTCTTGAGGCTTCATCCCACTATGGGGTGGTTAGGCATTGTGATTGAGATGATTATCTGTCTGAAACCCTTGGGGTTTCAGACCTTCCAGTCATGACTCCTTGGGAAGGCCCTGCAGACTCACTTCATTTATTATGAATTTCTAAAGTTAGCCCATTGAGCCAGTCCATAGATAGAGGCTTCATTAGGGAAAGCGCGCCTTGGTTTTAGAACGGTTTCAGTTTAAGAAAGAACTTCCAGAACAGATTAAGTTCATAAACCAAGGTACCACTGTATGTTGCTGTTTTCTCTTAACACTAGAGGATTTCGTTTGACAGGTGAAAGGCAGGGAAATGTGTGTGAGTGAATGGTTTGTTAATGTCTCTGCCTGTGGGGGGGGGAGGTCTCTCACCCCCTTCCAATTTCCTAGTAACATACTTCCATATCTTTAAAAGTTAGAAGTGCCCTTCATCTCATATGCTGGTGTGTTCAGTATTTGGTTTCGTGAGGATGTAGGCTCACCAAACCCAAACTCAACTTAAGTAAGCAGATTTTCTGACACTGAGTTTTCCCACTAAAACTCATGGATGAAAATAAATGCTATTTGCTTTGACAGTAGGGCAGTGTTCTTGCTTGCTTGCTTTCCTAAGAATGCATTTTGTTGGTGGATAGAGAGGCCTGCTGATGTGACTGGAACCTTTAAAAAAAAAACATTTTAAGGCAGCATTGTATGAAATTTGCAGGCATAGTAAGAGAGGAAGTTTAGTTGCATTTCCTCCCCTAGTTTATTTTAAGCAATTTCAGCCGAAGAGATGTTTCCCCCCCAGTCTTAGCACTAAGCATCACAGCACTGAAATCAGGGATAGACCACAGCCTGCCTTTTAAGAGTACAAAGCAGCTCCCCCCCCCCACTCCAGTGCTGGTGGGGGTGGGGAAAGGCTGCCTTTTAACTTCCACAGATCCTTCTCTGCAGAGTAAAAAAGCAGCCTTTATGGTCATTCTACCCTAGTGCTGGGAATGCTGATTTTGTATGTGTGCACATTTATACATGCATGTTTGTGTGTCAGTGTATGCTTGAGTTTTGGACTGCATATGTGAGAGAATGAAAATGTGTGCTATGTCCTGTATGTCAAATGAATGTGGATGTTTGTGGGTAGTATGTGTGCATACATTGGTCAAATCCATCACTGGCATGTGGGCCTTGGAGATGTGGCTGACCAGCAATGTGGTCCTTGGACAAACCTTGCTCTATAGGTTTACAATTAATGAGCTGAGTATGTTTAGTGGTATTTCACAATATATAATGTGGGGCAAGTTTTTATTTTATTTATAAACCAAAGAACTGGAGAACTGAACCTTTTGCCTTCTTGCAACAGGGTCTGCCATCTAGCAGGCCGTTTGATCGAGGCACTGCAGAAGCGACAACCAGAGTTGGACATCAACCATAGGGATATTTTGTGTGTTCAGATCGCTGGTCTTTGTCATGATTTGGGTAAGCCACTTCCCAGATATATTAATGAAGTGATTGATGCATGCTAGGTAAATAAAAGTACTATGCCATTCTAAAATATTTAGATAGGAGCTGGATTTGGGACAGGTGATTTTTGCTGTGAAGTATTGGTTTAAACTTCTAAATTTCTAAACTAAGGACAAGATTAACCTAAGCAGCCCTGTCCGTGGAAGGCCTGCTCAAGATCTTCCTCTTGTGCAACAGACCTGCCCCTCCTTTCTTTCCCCACATATCTCCCCACCACAAAAAAGCATTGGCTCTGGAGGAGTTGGGAGAACCCCTATAACAGTGCATGAAGGAGGAGGCATCATTCTTTCTGGCTAGCTGGAATCTTGCACAAATATAATGTTTGGAAGAGTATGGCACTGAATTTTATCCTAGGATATTTGCAGAACAGCGTCCTCTTGTTTGAACTGCCATGTGCTCTTTGAACATGTTCCATCTCCAGCTGAGGTGATGTGTGAGAAGGCCTTCTCAGTGGTACCACCCAGGTCCTGCAACAAATTACCCTCAGAGGTTTGGTTGACTTCCCCTCTCTCTGTTTTCTAGGGCCAATAGGAAACAATAATATTCCAGTGGGAATTTGCTTAGAATTCTTAAAAATTTTACCTACTCCATGTTTATATTTTGTTTTTATATTTTTTGTGTGGTTATTAGAAACTCTGGGGGAAGCACAAAGGATAGCCTGGTCTAATGGACTGAAAGTTGAGTCTTTGGCTTGGTATTACAAAATGGCTTTATTATGGTTAAAAAAAATACCAGAATATACTGAAGATGTGTGTCTGTGCATCTGTCCACACACACGCACGCATACACACAAACGTTTGCTACACAAATGAATTGCATAATTCTTACTTTCAGGTCATGGACCATTTTCACACATGTATGATGGAAGGTTCATCCCTCGTGTTTGTCCAGGAACTGCATGGAAGGTGGGTATGCAACCAGTCATTACTGCTTTCTTTTTTTAAGGGAAAGCTGCCTTGCCTAAAAATATGCTAACCACATTTAACAATTATAGTGTTTTATAGTCAAAGTACCCAGACATTTTCTGAAGTTTTTTGTGTTTTTTTTAAAGTTACCATATTGGTGAAATATACTCACTAAAATTCCTACTGTTTGCCACTCTTTTAGTCAGACCCCCATCTGGAGCACTGTGTCCAGTTCTGGGGGTTCAGGGAGTTGGGTATGTTTAGCCTGGAGAAGTGGAGACTGAGAGAAAGTATGATAGCCATCATTAATTAACTGAATAGCTGTCACATGGGACATGGAGCAAGTTTGATTTCTGTTGCTTTAGTGGGTCAGACCTGAACCATTTGATTCAAATTACAAGAAAGAAGGTTCTGACTAAACATGGAATGGACTCACTCAGAAAGTGGTGAAGTTCATTGGAGGTTTCTAAACGGGTTGGATGACCATCTGTCGGTGTTTGTTGTGCCGGGTGCCATCATATTCTGATTCTCCTCACAATTGTTTACCTGCTTTGCAAGGAGTTGGAATAGATGGCCCTTGGGGTTCCTTCAACCCCACAATTCTATGAATTTTCTCAGTCCTTTCTTCTCACAGAGATTATGTTCCATTAACCTTTCTAGGGTCTTCTTTCAGTGGCTTCTCTGCTTCATTTGCTGTTCTAAGTACCTTTCTATTTTCAGCCATCTCAGGTTATTGAACATTCCATTGCTTATCAGGAATTAGTGATTTCAGCAGCTGAGCTGCAGCAAGAATGTGAAACTAGGAAACAACTCTTCTCCCCCCCTGCTGGTATTTGTTTGCTATTGCAGCAGTGGGAGATCCAGCATTATTCTTAAATGAGGGAACCTGATTTAAAGAAACTCTGGCTTGTTTAACAAGCTAGTTGAATTTGCTTTTTATGGCACTTTAAATATTTTGTTTTAAACCAGGATCCTTGGAAAAAATCTGACGTTAAGCTGGGATTTTGCAGAAGTGAAAATGAACTCTGTTCAAGCTCCTGTGAGGGGAGCAGGAGCACACACACACACACAATGCTTTGCTTCAGGCTCATCCACCTGACATTAAACCATGGCGTAATGTTGTCTTAATGTTTTTGCATTCAGTTATGATGGCTTGTTTTGACAGCATATGCTTTGATTAATAATAATTAAAACTTCCTTTTTTGTAGCATGAAGATGCTTCTGTTAAGATGTTTGAACACTTGATTGATTCCAATGATCTAAGACCAGTCTTGAAGTATTATGGACTCAAGCCGGATGAAGATATAGACTTTATCAAAGAGCAGATAGCAGGACCCATTAAGACTGAAAAAAGCAGTAGTTCAGTAAGTCTTCTGCTTTGTAAATACTGTGCAATTTAATGGAATATAATGCTTAATAGCATTATCTTTTTTGAAGGAAAATTGGCAGGTGTTGCATGTGGGAGATTCATTATTTTTTGTGAACCATTGGTTGTTGAGCTTTTTATAGATCTTGAAGAGGGGCCATAGTTCAACAGCAAAGCATATGCTTTGTGTTCAGAATGTTCCACTCTGTTCTACCATTTCCAGTTAAAAAATGCACGGCAGCAGAGTTGGTTAATGCTTCTGCATGAGGCTTTGGAGAATCGTTATGCGTTAGGGTAGATCAAAGAATAATCTGAGCTGCTTCATACTTCATGCAATTCTGTGCATGTCTATGCAGATACAAGTATTGCTGAGTAAGCTTGCAAAAGACAGAGGTGCATCTAATGGTTCCCTTCCTTTTGGATGAAGGGAATATTTGCAAGTGACACAATAAGAGGTCACCTTGCAGGCACTTCATTTGCTTATCCTGATATTTGGATGAAAGTGAATCTTTATTCAATAAATATTTTTCTGTGAACATCTTTTAAAGAGTGATGTACAAGTATAAAAATTGCAGCCACCAAAACAATGCAAAATATGTTAAAAACAGCCAGACTTTTTCATCATCTTTAAAAGCCACCACAGAAGCAAGCACACTATAAATCAAATAGTAATACTGTTTTTGCAGCCCAGTTCAAATTAACTGTTAAAAGTGATTGAGGGAAAGATGGGTTTCCAGGGTCGGATTCAAACTATAAAGCTAGAGCTTGCCTAATATCACATGGAATGGAATTTCCTAAATGTGCTGCTGTTGCCAACAATGTCCTGTTCTGTGTGCTTGCCAATCTGATTGAAACCAGTTGTCCAGGAAGGAGTAATACTACTTAGACCCAAACCAGACAATTGACCGATAAGAATACAGTTCAGCAGAACCAATAGGGCTGTGCTCCTTGCTTCCATATTCCAGTGTAAGCCTGGCTAGCCAAGGTTGTTTCCATCACAAAACTAGGCTGTGATTATCAGCTCCACCAATTTTTATCTCTTATTAGTAAAGTATTGGCAGGTATCAATTAATCTGTTCCAGCATGTGCAAAGAGTTCTTAGAACCCTGCTTCCTTGCCAGTTTGGTGCTCAGAGTAGATTGCTTTATTGTAATGTATTATTTGCTTTTGGGTATTTCCACCCCTTTCTCCAGTGGCCTTACCGTGGGCGACCTGAAGAAAAAGGCTTTCTTTATGAGATAGTGGCCAACAAAACAAGTGGCATCGATGTTGATAAATGGGATTACTTTGCCAGGTATGGACCTTGCTCATTTTAAAGCATTTGGAAGATTTATTTTATCGATAAACAATACTGGGAATATTTTACCTATAGACAAACCAATTAGTGGAATATCCTATTGGTCCAAGTTAAATGGGATATCTATCTTATCATTAAAAACTCTTTATCTATCTTTAAATACTGTATGGTGTCATACCATATAAACTGTATGCTTGTTGGTTAACCCTGTATTTTGTTATATTGAAAACTAATAAAAATACTTGAGATAGCCATGTATACAGTATGAGCAGTATATAGACTATGAATGAGGAACCTGTGGCACTCCAGATGTTGCACTCCAGCTCCCATCAACCTCAGCCAGGATGGGCAATGGTTGGGATGGTTCAGCAACATCTGGAGCACCCAGGTCCCCCACCTCTCATATAGAGAGATACCTAGCCCAGGTATTTCTCCGTGTACATGTACTCCATGTACTTTCTATGATTTATTCTATGGTCTTGTGTTGTTGTAAGCCACTGTGATATATTTTTATGATGCAGGGCATATAAATATTTTTATAAATAAATTCAGTATCTATATGCAGCTGCTGGGGGTGACCTCTACAAGATTTGGTGCAAGGTAGCACCATATACTGATGATACCCAGCTGTTTCTCTGTAACATATGAACCAAGAGAAGTCATGCATGTTTTAAATCGGTGCCTGGGCTAGATGAGGGCTGGATGGAAACCCTATGGATGGGCTGTTCAGCAATTCTGATGGGTTTGCATTCCCTCTGAGGGTTGTAGTCTGGGTGTGCTCCTAGATCCATTGCTGTCACTAGAGACTCAAGTGACCTCAGTAGCTCATGGTGCCCACTACCAACTTCGGTCGGTTTACAAACTACAACTGTTTCTGGATGAGGAGAGGAAGCAATCCTTGTTGGAGATAGCAACCACTCTCTGGAATACTCTGCTTTGGGCAATTCATGAGGTAGAGATCATAATGGCCCTTGAACAACTTTTCAGAATATATTGCCTATGTTTTCCTGGACTCTGTCTGACTCTTAGTTTTTAATTTTTTTGCTTTGTAAACCTGCTCAGTTTTATTTGTGAAATACAGCTGTCTTCTGTTTTTATCACATGTTTGTATTTTTGTTGTTTTTATGGAAACCACTTGGAGATTTTCACTATCTTAAGCACTTTAAATAACATTTAGCAATATTTTTCAAACTAAACAGTGACTTCGTTCTCTGGTTTAAGGCTCTTGGTTTTTCCAGGAGAGTTGTAAGCCAAGCTATGGCTTAGTGCAGCACAACAGCCAGGGAGGAGCAAAGCAGCCGCAGGTTCATGCTAAACCATAATTTGTCTGAAGATAATTGCAGTTGCTATTATGGAAGTGTGTCTGGAGATTATATATCTGTATTTTGGGAATGTGAAAAAATAGAATCCTTTGGCAATTGATCTTTAAATTATTAATACATTGAGTAAATTGCTGGATATATAGTCTCAAAGAATCCCCTGAGAGTCCTTTTACATTATTTAAAGGTGAGGTCCCCAGTGGAGACATCTTCCTGATCCCTCCTGCTAATTTTAAAATGTCCCGTCCCCCCCCAATTCGTAATTGAATGACCTTACCTCCTGCCTGTTTCTGGAATATATTTAGGGATTGTCACCATCTTGGAATCCAGAACAACTTTGATCATGTACGCTACATTACATTTGCTCGTGTCTGTGATATTGAGGGAAAGAGGCATATTTGTACCCGTAAGAAGGTAAGCTTTCTTGAGGAAAGTAGAGAATGCCAACTAAAATAATGTTGGAAGGTTGAAAAACTCGCCGTCCAAATTTTTGTCTATTTCGTTTTTCTATCCCCCGCCCCTTTTTTTCAGGGAAACACTGTCTCATTTTGTTGTTACTCAGTGTTGAGAGGCAAATTAACCTGAAAGCTAATGTTTACAAAAAGCCACCCAGTGAGCTTAATGACTGTGGGTCTTATGAGTCCAGATGGAGATAAACTTGCAGTCTACTAGGTAAAGGTAAAGGTACCCCTGCCCATACGGGCCAGTCATGACCGACTCTAGGGTTGCGTGCTCATCTCGCTCAAGAGGCTGGGAGCCGGCGCCGTCCGAAGACACTTCCGGGTCATGTGGCCAGTGTGACGAAGCTGCTCTGGTGAGCCAGCACCAGCGCAGCACACGGAAACGCCGTTTACCTTCCCGCTATAAAGCGGTACCTATTTATCTACTTGCACTTAGGGGTGCTTTCGAACTGCTTCGTGGTCAGGAGCTGGGACCGAACGACGGGAGCTCACCCCGCCGCGGGGATTCGAACCGCCGACCTTGCAATCAGCAAGTCCTAGGCACTGAGGTTTTACCCACAGCGCCACCCGCGTCCACTGCAGCAGTCTACTAGTGCTGCATAAATTGAGAAGTGCACCTCCAAGTGAATAGGAGGCAATGCAATATAGATTTTCTCTGCTGTTGAGAACAGAAAGTTTGAGGGAAAAACTGAATTTTGGGAGCACGAAGCCATTACCTTTCATCTCAACCAGCCTCACTACATGTAGAGAGTATATAGGCTTACTATAGCACAGTGTTTCCCAACCTTTTTTGGGCAAAGGCACACTTGTTTGATGAAAAAAATCTTGAGGCACACCACCATTACAGCCCCGTGACGTCAGCGCGCAGCGTCACGCCGGGAGGGAAGGGCGCCGGGGCGCTGCTGCTGCTGCCGCCGCCGCTCCCGGCAGGCATGGGCCCAGCTGAGGCGGCGGCGGCTGTTGTGGTGGTGGCGGCGATAGCGGGCGGAGGAGGGGGCGGTGGCGGGGCCGAGGTGGCCGGCGGCGGCGGGGGAGGCGGCGGCGGGTGGAGCAGGAGGGCGGCCGAGGCCGGTGAGGGAGTAGGGTTGCCCGGGGCTTGAGGAGCCGTCGCCGGGAGTTGCTGCTGCCCGGACATGCCGGCCTCCTCCTCGTCCGCTGTCTTGCGCTCCTCCCTTTTGCGTGCGCTGCCCCGCCGCCGCCCCATTGGCCGGGTCCTGTCAGCTGATCCTGTGTTATTTCCTGTGTGTGTGTGTGAGGGGAGAATGGAGAGAGAAACCTCGGCACCACCACCGCGGAGCCGCCCCCGGCTCGACGCGAATCCTCGCCGCCGCCGCCCCGACTCGCCCGCCTCCCTCCCACGGCACACCAGGCAACGTCTCGCGGCACACTAGTGTGCCGCGGAACACCGGTTGGGAAACACTGCTATAGCATATGGTTGACGATGTGGTGATGGGTTGGAGTCGCGTGTTTAAGGGCCATAAATTAGAACATAAAAAGAATCCTGCTGGATCAGACTAAAGGTATGTTTAATTCAACCTTGCGTTCTTGCCATAGCCAGCCAGATGCCTGTGGGAAGCCCACAAAGAGAACATGAGCAGAACAACATTCCCCTGCTTGTCATATGCAGAGACTGGTTTTTAGAGGCATACTGCTTCTGATAATAGAGTTAATATAGCCATCATGACTATCAGTTTAGAGAAAGTGGGTAGGGAAGGTTTGGGTTATCATGGAAGGCAGGTACAAATCGTCACAGTCTATTTTCTCTAGTTCCAGCATTAATCCTCATGCATTTGGTTGCTCTACCACTGTGCTCCCTGGTCTATGCAAGTCAAGTCACAAGCAAGGCAGAGTGCTTAAAAGCTCTCTTCACTCCGGGTCTGCTTAGCGTTGCCCATCGCAAAATGAGCTTTTAAGATATGCTTTGTTTGCTGGGCAAGGCCCACTCAGCACACAGGCTGTGGAAGATTCTGGGGCGCTCTCACGAGATAATCTGACTTCCTGCGAGATCTCAGACGGCCCAGCACAAAATGAGCTTTTAAGGTCTTGGCCTTGGTTGCTGGGCAAGGTCTGTTCAACACATTGGCTCTCAGAATCCTGGGGATGCTGTCTCTCACCCGCTTGCTGCAAGGCAGCTCCAAGGGTTGGCTGGCTATATGTGTGCGTAAGATAAGGGAACACTGTATTTTCATTAAGTGGAACAAACAGGAAATGTAACCACACAAGCTTGTAGAAGGCAACGCTCAATACAGAAGCAAGGATATCATCCACCAATTATTAGCATTCTGCTCTCATGAATGTAAAGAATAATCTTATCTCAAGGATCCTGTGCTTCATGCACTTCTCCACTTTCAAGGAGCCCCCATGAGGCCTCTCCACATAAGCAGAAAGTAATCTTAATTGCAAAAATGATTACTCTAGTGTTCTGGAATACATTTTTATATTTCTTGTGTATGGATTATTTAGAAGGGTCTAATTATTTCTATGTCCCGGAACCTTTTTTATTTTATCCCTAGTTGTTCAGCAACAAACAACCAATTTGATGAATTAAAGTACAAGTCTTGGAACTGTGGTTTTAATATAAAAGATGAATAAAATACTTTTTATCTTGAACTTTAGGAGGCTGGAAATTTGTATGACATGTTCCACACACGGAATTGCCTGCACCGCCAAGCCTACCAACATAAAATTAGCAACATCATTGAAATTATGTAAGTAAGTGCACGTTGATATGCCCTAGACAGGGCAGTATCCAAATAAATCCTAGCCAATCTTACGTTAGTTGATTAATTACATTTGTATGAGCTTGCATATTAATTCATTTTAATAATATATGACTGAAGGAGGAATGCTTCTTTTAAAATGGTGCTTGCCAGCTACAAATGATTTTTAAAGAAGTGTTGCCTGATTTATTTAGGAGTGTATTTTAATTCAACCAATTTGAATTTAATTAATTAAAATTAAATTAATTAATTAAAATTAATTAAATTAAATTAATTAAAATTAAAATTAAATTAATTAATTAAAATTAATATTAAGCAATTGATCAGTTAAAGGTTGTAGCCCTAGTTCTGGAGTGTCTCATTGAGAAACTCTGTTGAATGTCCCTGTCCTTCTCCTTAATCGTTTTTCAAAGTGGATTTTGATGACTAGAAAAAGTTATATGGTTTAATTTTTTTTATCAACTTTGGTGTTTTTGTATTACTCTTTTTTAGCCATAGAAATAATTTTCCAAATTTCCAAAGCCATTGTGAAATCTTTGATCTGGAGTTAATATTGAAATTATGGATTCTTCCTCATTTGTGTTGCATGTTTCATATCAGGATTACAGATGCCCTTTTGAAAGCTAACCCACATATCATCATAAAGGGATCTGGAGGGGAAGAGTACAATATCGCTACAGCACGAGAAGACATGGAAGCCTACACTAAGCTAACAGGTATGGGCTTGTTGGACTGACACCTAAATTCTAATTGCATCAATTTTAGAAGCATTTCTGTCAGGGTACCATTTTGTTATGGCACTTAAATGAAACATTGTACATTGCATTATGTAAAAGAGTTATATATTCTGCTGTATGCATATGAAGGAAGTGAAGTCTTTCTGTCACTAGGTCTGAAGAAGTAATAATTTATTTATAGTATAAGAAACGGATTTGTTCCCCTGCTTAACATCTCTCCAGTAAACTAGGATTAGGTATTGCAAACTTGCAACATTTCTCTCCCTATTTATAAATTGCACATTCTGTAGAAGATGAGTATAAAGGATGGCTAAAGGAAATCCCTACAGATGGTACAGGCCTCTGATGCATGCAAAAAAAAACCTCTATCTATGTATATTTATAGGATTGCAGTCCTGCCCCCACCTTCCCCCACCCAAAAAAACCCCCTGGAGGGGATCAAGGACTGAGCTTCTGCACAAGAGAAAGCAGCACATAGAAGTGAGCTTTCACTTTCCAGAGTTGGGAATTATGCTGAAGGGAAGCAAGTGGCAGAACTATCAAGGGTGAGGCCTATGGCCACACATTTTCCAAACTTCCCCCTCTCCTAGTTTAAATTATTAAAGGGGTGGTTTGTGAAAGAGAAAAATAAAAATTGCCTCCTCTTCCCCCCTGCCTCTCTCTTTACCCCTCTGTAAGCCGTTAAGGAGCTTATCAACTTTGTTTAATTTGAATAGGTTGATATATGACCACTTATGCAAATTCTCTTTTTGATTTATTGCTCCTGTAAAATCTTGTTGGGATGGGTGTGTATTGGATGGTGTTGATTCAAAACTGAAACCAACATTTCTTGTTCAGTACTCCTGTTGTCTCGGGCTAGTGAGAATCTTGGAGCCAATGTGACTGAGTATAAGCAGAGGAGGAGGAGGAAGGCAGGATAAAACGGAAAGCAATGGAGAAAGGGAAAGGAAGCTATGAGGGATGTATAGATTTCTCGTTACTAGTGCTGAGCCCAGGTTTTTGGAGGTTCTTGGACAAGATGCCCTCAATAAACCCCTCTACCTCAGTAAGTATGTCCCTTCACTCCAATGATGGCAGCTGCTCCTCTGCCTCATTATTGCTAGCTGCCTGCTTGCTGGCCAGAGGAACCCAATGAGCAAGCAGGCCGTGGCAGTTACTACTACTCTTTCTTCCCACCGTTGTAATAATAAGAACAAGAACAAGATAGATAAATAAATAAATAAATAAATAAATAAAATCCCTTCCATCTGGCTGGGTGCTGGCTTTCCCCAGCCACTCTGGGCAGCATCTAATAGAGGACTAAAAACACAATAAAAGATCAAACATTAAAAACTTCCCTAAACAGGGCTGCCTTCAGATGCCTTCTAAAAGTCAGATAGTTGTTTATTTCCTTGACATCTGATGGGAGGGCATTCCACAGGGTGGGTGCCACCACCGAGAAGGCCCTCTGCCTGGTTCCCTGTAACCTCACTTCTCACAAGGAGGGAACCTCCAGAAGGCCCTCAGCGCCGGACCTCAGTGTCTGGGCTGAACGACGGGAGTGGAGATGCTCCTTGTTCATCTCCTTCACTTTGGAGCAAGACGCAGGTGAACAAGCAGGAAATTGTCAGGGGGGGGTGTCATTGAGAGGTGCCCAATCTTGCCAACCCTTACACTGGACATGCCAGTTTTCACAGAGCCTTAAGAAATGCTTGTTTGAAAGTCCAGCCTTTTGCCCTTGACCCTTCTCACCTTTCTAATCCCAGTTGTGTGGTAATTAAAGTGTTATTTACTTGTAAAGTGGGACGTGGGTGGCACTGTGGTCTAAACCACAGAGCCTAGGACTTGCCGATCGGAAGGTTGGCGGTTCAAATCCTTCCGACGGGGTGAGCTCCTGTTGTTCAGTACAAGCTCCTGCCCACCTAGCAGTTCGACAGAACATCAAAGTGCAAGTAGATAAATAGGTACCGCTCTGGCGGGAAGGTAAACGGTGTTTCCATGCGCTGCTCTGGTTCGCCAGAAGTGGCTTAGTCATTCTGGCCACATGACCCGGAAGCTGTCTGCGGAGAAACGCTGGCTCCCTTGGCCTATAGAGCGAGATGAACGCCGCAACCCCAGAGTCATCCGCGACTGGACCTAACAGTCAGGGGTACATTTACCTTTACCTTACTTGTAAATTAGTGTCAGATGCTTCTAGCTGTGCTCTTCTTTACTGCTGTGTATAGACATTGCACAAAACCTGGTTGTTTAGGAAGGTCTTCAGCTCAAAAAAACAGACTCTTCTTGTTATGACTATGTTAGGACTGCTTTCTTTTGTGCTCTTTGGTTTATGAGTGGACATTTTTGATGTGTTTTTCAAAATGTTATTTCCTGATTTGGTTTCATTTTATGCACATTTTACCATAAGCTACTTTGAGGTTGTTGGGCTTTGATTTGTTTGAGGATATAATTTTTCAAAAATGTTACCTTCTGGTGCCTTTCATCTACTGCCAAAGCAGTTAGAGAAGAGACCCACAGAACTATATCTTAACCCTGTTGAGACACAGCAGAAATCTGACTGTTGAATTGAATATGGTCTTGTGAGTTTCGTTTTTGCAGATATGTAAAAGATCATTTCCAGCTGACTACCATTATAATAGCATAAAAAACAATTCTTAAATTCTGACACATAATACATAATACATGTTTCAATTATGCAAAAGAAAAGCTGGCTTTAATGACTTGATTTGTTTAATACTGGCAGATGAGATCTTCTTAAGAATTCTTCATTCTGATGAGCCCAACCTCGAAGAAGCACGGGAAATTTTATGTAAAATAGAGCGGCGTGACCTGTATAAGTACCTGGGAGAGACTCAGCCCCCAGAGGGCAAGGAAATTACGAAGGTGGGCACAGTTTTCTCAAATTACATTGGTTAGTTAACTCTGCTAGCTTGTTAAGTGTGGTTAAGTACTTGTTAAGTACTGATTTTTTCAGTACCAATTTGCTTATCTCTGGCTTCTATATCTCTCTTTACACACACACACACACACACACACACACACACACATATACACACATAACACACCTCTCTCTCTCTCTCTCTCTCCTCTCTCTCTCTCTGTCCTTCACAGATCCCTGCTCCCCTATCTTGCTGCAAATGCCTTGCAAAAGCCCGCCTGAGCAGGTGCATGGTCCATGAAGTGCCTGGGGAGGCCATCTCTGTCACTTCTCTCTCCAGCCACGCCACAATGCAGAAACAACAACTACCACCTTCTAGACTGAAAAGAACCTTTGGAAAAGCCCACACCTTCTTTGCCAGCACAAGCTGACTAGTCATGATGCAACTGAGGGCAACATCCTTGTAGCATTTCTCTCCTGCTCCCACGTCCAAGCTGCTGTAAAAGTCCACTGGAGGCTGGGAAAAGGCTGTTCTTGCCTGCCCTTCCCTATCACATGGGCATCCTGCATGAAGTGAGTGAGGAAGGCATCCGCACTGCTCCTTCCCCTCAACAACAATAGTAATAATAAATTCTTACCTGTACCCCGGTCATCTGACTGGGTTGCCCCAGCTACTTTGGCTTTCAACATAATAAAAGCATGGCAAAATATTGAACATTTCTTAACAATATTAAAATGTTGCAACCTTCTTTTTTTTTTCTCTAATGGATTACTAATTTTGCCTTAGTCCGCCTGAAGAGAAGCTGTGACAGCATTAAAAGTCATCACTACTGATTGTCATGATATGGTGATATCAAATACCTTATTTGTCACATTGTACAGTGCGTGAGAGAGAGAAAATTATTTTGAAAATTAATCATGGGTCTGGTTCATCAGTTTCTGAGAGTATGATTCAAATACAGTGATTCAGTATACACAAAAAAAGTAAAAGGTTTTATACCCTGCAGGAACGGTGTAGTAAGATAGCTGAAGAAATTGCCAAGTCCCAGCCCAGTACATTATCTCACAAGCCTGGATTAAAGCCTGAAGACTTTATTGTTGATGTAAGGATAATCTCTTTAAATGCTCATTTTAAATGATTTTGATTTCTTAACATATGTGCCTACAATGCACTTTAGTACATTTTTATTTTTGACTTGCCTCTGTGAAGGTTGTCAAGATGGATTATGGAATGAAAAAGAAGAACCCTGTCAATAACGTGGGTTTCTACTCAAAGTATAACCGCGATGAGGCAGACAAAATTTCTAAAGAACAAGTAAGTAAGGTTGGGGTGTGTGTGTTTCTGCCTGTTTTATTATGATAGCTTTTTAAAGAGTATCTGAATACATGTGAAAATGACTACAGAATTGCATGGCAATAGTAGCAACCAAGTTCTAATATCACCTGCTATGTAAGTGCCCACTGAATGCAAGTGGTTTTAAGGTGAAATTCCTGTGCAAACATTCTTGTAACTGAATGGTGCTGCTGAGAAATTTGTTGAAGCTTTTTCTGACAAGGTGATAAAATTAAGTGTTTGTGACTTCTTTTTCCTTCTGTCTTAAGGTTTCACAGCTCCTACCAGAAAAATTTGAAGAGCAGCGAATCAGGGTTTATTGTAAGGCAGCGGATGAAGAGACTATCAGTGATGCTAGAAAATATTTCGATCAGTGGTGTAAAAGTCTCACTAAACCACAGGTAAGAAAGGTTTAACATTGAGAAGGTGCATCTCAATGTAGAATCATAGAATTGTAGAGTTGTAAGGGACCCTGAGTATCATCTAGTCCAATGCAGTAATATGCAGCTATTCCATACGGGGATTGAACCTGCAACTTTGGCGTTCTCAGCAGCACACTCTAACCAACTGAGCTTATGAGAGTCAGATCTACCTCATTCTCTGTATTCCTTTTGTTCATCACCTGTTCATTCTTCCATAGTCTCCTCTATCACCAACCCATTATTACTTCTGCACATTATGAACACAAGGGATTTGAGAATTCTAAAAATCTCAGAAATCTCATTGGAGGACCATCTAGCCTTTATAGTTTACATTCTAAAACAGCTGTAATACTACCACTAACTAGAAGTTTTGTATCTGTTTATTAATTTCCTTGCAAATGATGAGTACATAAAATTTGTTGAGAGGTGACTACCACAAATAAATGGGGTACAGCATGAGTCACCCATTACCTTTTCCTGACAGTGGGAAAGGGCAGCGCAAGAATGTTTTTCTTGTAATATTATGTGTAAAAAGGCTCCAGTGAGTGTCTTGCTCCACTTACCAAGAAGATGACAGAATGTATTGACTGTTAATTTCCAGTGCACAACTGAACTTCTTTTCTTCATTTTGATGCTTTGATAGGATTGTGGTATTGTTGCCCCTGAACTTACACCAACGAAAGCAGACTGCAATGTAGACGGAGAAGACGAAAAGCATGATTCAAAGACCAGAAGGAAACTTGAATATGGTGTTATTAAAAAATGTAAACGTAGAAAGAAAAGCAGTAGTGAAAAATGTCAGTCTTAACTCAAATGAGTTAAAATTCCATTTGTTGTAGATTTCAAATGGACATTTTGATGACCGGCAATCTTCTTATTTTGTTAATCTAAATGTGTGCCGGTGAAGAAAGGTCTACTTATAAAAACAGGTTGTAATAATAATAATACTACAGTGGGTGCCTCGCAAGATGAAAAGAATCCGTTCCGCGATTATCTTCGTCTACCGGTTTTTTCGTCTTGCGAAGCAAGCCCATTGACAGCTTAGCGGATTAGCGCTACAGCTGTCTAGCGGCTTTTCGCGATCAGCTGTTAAGCGGGTTATCCGCGGAACAGCTGATAGGTGGCTTAGCGGCTTAGGAAAAGGGGGGGAAGCAGAAAAAACCCGCGGGGACGCGCAAGATTTTTTCGTCTTGCGAAGCAACCCCATAGGGAAATTCGTTTTGCGAAGCGCCTCCGCGACGGAAAACCCTTTCGTCTAGCGGGTTTTCCGTCTTGTGAGGCGTTTGTCTTGTGAGGCACCACTGTACTAATAAATAATTATTATTCATACCCCGCCCATCTGGCTGGGTTTCCCCAGCCACTCTGGGCAGCTTCCAACAAAGTATTAAAATACAATAGGTTGTATCCAATGTAAGTCCTACTAAGAGTAGAACCGCTCAAATTAATGGACATGGCTAATATAGCTCCATTAATTTCAGTGAGTTTGCTCTGAGTACAACTTAGTTGGTTAAAATTCAAAAGCTTTTAGGAAAAAACATAAAAGAAGGAACAAGCCTATGCCATTTGCCTATCTTCTGTTTATGATAAAAGTGCTTATCCTACTGTTCTTTTTAGCTGCCATTCCCCCAAATCATGATAGTCAGTATATGTTCATTTAGAGCTAAACATGCCTTGGCACAATCAAGGATATACTATTTTATAAAGTTACCTTTTTAACTTCAATGCTTACCTTTTATATAACCCAACAAAATACTTGCAGTACCAAAACAACCAATTATTGAATGTATCCTAGCCATTAAGCACTAGGTAGAGAGGAAATGAGCTGGTTTGTATAGAGAGGCAAACAGCTGTTAAGAATCAGAAGCAAATTTCAGACTAGGGAGTTTTGCCTGTTATGTTTCAAACCGACTTGAATGTATTTTTAATCTCTCATATTTCCACAAATTTGTTGTCTTTGTATGGAATAGTATATATTGTTCATTAAAAAAATTTTGGGGGAGAAATACAGTTTTATGATGTGGCACTTTATGCTGACAGAAAATGGGTTTGTGTGTGAGAAGTGTGCTGTTAAATGTGAGAACAGAGAGTTTCTGAACCTTCATTTAACAAACCTAAGGCTCAGAAGAAATGTATACACCATTTAAGAACGATGGATTGGGATAGAGAGATGTCCTTCTGCAAACAGAATGGCTCCTCATCACAGAAGGGACTATCTACTGTAGGAAGCTGGAAAGCCACTTACACCATCAACCCCCCCCGTGTCTCTTTCTGTACTGAGCAGATTTACAGGGCCATTGCAGGGGGGAGTTGAATCCCACTCCCTTCACCAGCAGGATAGTTCTGCTCAAAGGAATCTTGGATCCATGCCAGTGTTTAAAATGAAGCTGTGTCATGGAGTTCTCTTAAAACTTAGGGCTGAAAAATTAAACATTTAGGGCATTGTCAGGTGCTCGGTTGAATTTACTCCCAGCACATGGCACCTGAATCTAGAATTATTTCACCAGAACACACTTTCACCCAACACACTTTCACACGAGCAGAGAGCTGTTCAGAAATATCCAACATTTCTAGTGCTGCAGTCAGAGTACGGGTAGCTAACCTGTGACCTTCCAAATATCAGTGAACTGCAGCTGCTATAATCCCTGACTGTTTGCCATGTCAGGTGCTGATGTGAATTGGGAGTCCCAAAAACATCTAGACTAGATTATGCAAGAAGAGACCTCAAACTCAGTGGCTCAATTGTTTGAGCTCCGTAAGATTGGATTAAAAGGGAGCTGCTTGCATCCTGAGCCTTTGTTTTGAAATTAAATTGCTTCATAAAAACGGGTTAAGGTAACATACATAGCGCTATTCTCTCCAAAGCTATATTCAATTATCAGACTGGTTGGGATTATAATTATATATTTTGTGTGCCTGTATATTAATCTTTTTTCCTGTGCATATCAGCTGAGTAATAAAACCCCTGATCTTTATTGAATTGTTGCAACAGGGTGCCCCCTTCACATACAGGAGAAGGAGGAGGACCCAGAACCCAGGTGTGCCCGCCCTTATATAGACATTTTAAATTGCCTGCCCTGGAGTCCAAGACCACCCCCAGAAACATAATACATACATCACAGAAGGGGTGTAGCTCAACACCCCCCCCCAGACACATCATACCTACATCACAGAAAGGGGTGGTCTACAAAAGAAATCTGAGTATGTTTACCAGAAATCTGAGTGCATACTTAGTTCCTGAGCCAGGTCACAGGCTCACCCTATTCATACACAGATATACCCTTAAGACAGGATTTGTGAAGGAAAAGACAATGGGTAGGCTTTTCCATTTTCCTTTGCAGAGAAAACATTTGGTCAGTTTGGGAGCCAAAATGGCTGTTTTCCTGTGCTGCTTCAGACATTTGGTTTATTTATTTATGTACGTATTTGCTTTGTACATTTGTGTGTGTGTGTATCTTTATTTTTATTTTATTTTTCAACCCCCCCTTTGGGGCTATAATTTTTTCTTTAAAAAATTCTTTGCCCCACAAAATGTTAACGTAGTATGTTGGAAATGGATGTCTTTGTGTAAATCTGAAAACTCTTGCATGTCAGGCCCCTTAAGGCTCCATAGTGGTCTATGCTTTACATTTAGCAGGAAGGTCCACCAATGACTGAAAAATGCAGTTTGTTTTGTTTCTGCTTTTTTGTGTGTTCCCAAGTGTCAAAGTTAGTTCTCTGGACTCACACCTCCAACATACCCACAGCAACACCTCCTGGTGAATCCCCTTAGGGCTTTCATCTTGACCATGTCACCTTGTCCCTGGCATAGGTTTGGACATTTAGTGAGAGAGATGTCTTTGCCTTTGCCTTTCTATGGGATTGCATTTTTATTATTATTGGCATTTGTCTTGCACTCTAGGAAAGTTGCTCAGTTATTCTAAGGGGACCAGAGAAAGTTCAGTGCACCTGGGATACATGCCCAATCAGAACTGAGCCCAATTAGAATTTATTTAGTCTCATGGTTAACACATTCTAAACCAATGTTAAAACAAAACCATACTTTAAAAAGGGCACTTGTCCAAATTAGTCAGTTTAACTCTGTAAGGCAGGGGTGTCAAACTCAAATTCATCGGGGGCCACATCAGCAGTTTGGTCACCCTCAAAGGGCCGGATGACACCCCCTTTATGCACAAGGAGGAAGATGGTAGCTAAAATATAACTCATTCTCTTTGAAGGCATGCACTCATAGATGGAAGGGGGTATTAGTTCTCCGCAAAGGTCGAGGACCCCAACATACACTCATGTAAGAAAACTTTTAGGTGCAGCTGCCCCCCATTGAGAGGAACAAGCGTCCTTTCACTATGTACAGCCTCCCTCGATTTCCCACTCCTACTTAAACATCAGCCCACAGCCCCACATAAAGGCAAACCACTCTTTAACATTCAAGTGTGTGTGATTAAAAGAAGCAATTTGCTATCATTCCCCTCCACACACACACTTTGTAAATATGGGGAACAGATAAATGACGTCTAAGGGTTAGGTTTCATCCTTTATTCCCCAAGGAGGAGGGACGTAAATACTTAAAATAGGGAGGCGCCTTTTCTCTCTCTGTGTTTTTTTTTTCTTTCCTTTTCCCTTTTTGGCAGGCAATGGAGCAAGTACGGTAGGTCTTAGGGAGTGGGTGGGGTCGGGCTTGACTTCCAAACCTGCGAAGGTAAACGGAGGGAGATAACGGGGTGAGACGCGGGGGGGGGGGGGGCGTGGAGAAGAAGATATGAGATTGGAGGGAAAGAAACCTTGCAGCCCAACCAAAGCAGATAAACGTGCTAAGCCTCCAGCTTGCCCACAAAGACGACTCCTCTTCCTCCTCTGGTGTGTGTGTTGCTGCTGCTGCGACACGGCTACTACTTACCCCTCAGGGAATTGGTTGATTAAATGCACATTTCTATGCCACTGAATTCATAAAATCTGTACGGTGGCGGTACCAAAGAATGTAAAAGGAAGGAAAGAGTCTCTCTCTCTCCTCCCCACCCCCACCCCCACTTCCTCACCTGGGCGAGCTCCGGTCCACCTCCCAGGTGGCGTAAAGGTTCATCTGGACCGGGCACCCCCCTGCCGTCGCCGCTGCGCCTGACCCAGGAGCCCCCGAGCCGCCTCCCCCCGGGGCCAGAGAGCCTCCTCCGGGGCCGAGAGCGGCCGGCTGAGACAACGAAGGCGCCACCGCCGGAGGAGCAGGAGGAGGCGCCAGCTGCTGTAGCACCGCCGGCGGCGGCGGAGGCTGCCCTGAAAGGCTCTGTGCAGCCGGGGACGCCAAAGAAGCTGAGCCGCTGGATGCCGGCTGGTGCAGCGAAGGCATGAGCGAGCCCCGCTGGCCACCAAGCACCCCTCCGCCACAGCTGAGGAGGAGGACGACGGAGACTAGAGTCTCCCTCAATCCCCGCTAGAGCCTCAGCCGCCGCCTTCTTTCCCCTTCAGCTGCGCGAGAATAAAAGGTGAAAGCTGGCGGCCGCCGGCGGCTACACGGGCCACATGACGAGGTCTGGCGGGCCTTGTGTTTGACACCCGTGCTGTAAGGGATCATTCCAGCGAAATCAAGGCATATATACCTTCATGTATCTGGTGTTTTCATGGACCCTGAAGCTTCTCCTTGGTAAAACGAGTTAAAACACATTTTAAAATGGGTAGGGAAGGTTGGTAGAGTGCCAGGTGGGACAAGGAAATGTGGTCATAAATTGATCTAATCTAAATATTGGACTCTAGGACGCGGGTGGCGCTGTGGGTAAAACCTCAGTGCCTAGGACTTGCCGATTGCATGGTCGGCGGTTCGAATCCCCGTCGTTCGGTCCCAGTGCCTGCCAACCTAGCAGTTCGAAAGCACTCCTGGGTGCAAGTAGATAAATAGGGACCGCTTACCAGCGGGAAGGTAAACGGCGTTCCGTGTGCTGCGCTGGCTCGCCAGATGCAGCTTGTC